GGGGGGGGTGCGGTGCGGGAGGAGCCCGGCTGCGGGCTTTGTGCGGGGCGGGGGCCTCCCCGCCGCCCCCCCGCCGACCGCCGCCGGGTTCTTGCAGGCTGGCCCTGTACGTCTACGAGTACCTGCTGCACGTCGGCGCCCAGAAGTCGGCGCAGACCTTCCTGTCCGAGGTGAGCCCCCCCGCCGCCCTTTGTGCTCCGCCGCCGCCTCCCGGCCTCCATCTTGTGCGGGGCGGGCGAGCGGCGGCCGCCGGCGGGGTCCCCCCCGCTCGTCGGGGCCCCGCAGCCCACTGGCGGCACCTTCCTTTCGCCCGCAGATCCGGTGGGAGAAGAACATTACGCTGGGAGAGCCCCCCGGCTTCCTGCACTCCTGGTGGTGGTGAGTGAGGGGCGCGGGGGGGTCGCGGTGAGTCAGCAGCCCCGGGGCTGCGCCGGGCGCTGCGGGGGCACCCGGTGACCGGGGCTCCCTCCCCTGTGTTTGTGCCACGCAGCGTGTTCTGGGACCTGTACTGCGCAGCCCCTGAGCGGCGAGACACTTGCGAGCATTCGAGCGAAGCGAAAGCCTTCCATGACTATGTGAGTAACAACAAGTTTCTGCTCCTCGCGGTAATGACGGAGTTGGGGCGCTCGGGCTCCTCGGCGCGCCGGCAGCAGCGTGCTTGCAAACAGCGGCGCTGCGATTTTGGCCGAACGGCGTTTCATAACGTTGCAATTATGCAAATGAGCCCAGGCGCTTTATCTTCAGCACTTGGAGGCGTCGGGACCGCCGGTGGGACCCGGCGCTGGGCAACAAAGCGTTGGCCGCGAGCGCGGTGGTGGAGGTCGGTGGCTGCGGGCCTGGTGCTGAGGTTGTCTTGTTGGTAAATGCCATGGAGGCGGCTGGGGATGGAGGGAAGGTTCCCCAGAATGTCATCCCAAAGCCTCGTGGTTTGTGGGGCTGCTTTGGCTGGCTGGGAACGCTCCTTGAATTCAGCGGCGTGGAGGAACTCATGAGCTGGAGGTGATGGTGTGGACCTCATCCCTCTGTGCCTGCTGGTGCCTCTGGGCTTTTTGTCTTCATGAAAAACGTGGCTCCTCCAACTGTTTTGCTCCAGCTGTGAGTTGCTGGACCCGCTCGCTTGCTTGGAGCGAACCTAGAGGTGCTGCATACAACCTGCTGGACTCCGCCGCCATCCTGTGTGTGCAGGTCCTTAGTTGGTTGGTGGCAGCCATCACGGACCGTCCTGTGTGTGCACGACCTCGTGCTATTGTCCTCAGCAGAGGTGTTGGTGGAACCCAGCAGAGGCTTTTCTTCAGGTGTGTTTCCCTAAAGCACCAGCTCCTTGAATTCAGCAGCATGGAGGAACTCATGAGCTGGAGGTGATGGTGTGGACCTCATCCCACCATGCCTGATGGTGTTTGGGCCCTCTGGGCTTTTTGTCCTCCTGAAAAATGTGGCTCCTCATGGCCCAGGGCTTGTTGGTGCTGGCTGCAGGTGGGCTGCCTGCTCTGTCCTGCTGAAGTCACCCAGATCTGCAGCACTGATCTGCAGCGGGAGGAATTTGAATCAAAGGATTAGTCACCTGGCTGTGGGCTTGGAGCAGAGTCAAGCGAGTTTAAATTGTGTAGCAGGAGCTGTTTTTGTCTGCTCATGGGAGCCTATGGTATGGAAACCATTTTTCCTCCCTTCCCCAGCCTCTCGCTGCCTCGACATGCCTGGGTTGAGCTGCTGGGAGATGTGTGAGGTTGGGCTGGGAGCAGCATGGGGACCTTCTCTGCAGTTCCTGCTTGGGGAGCAGAACCCAGATCTGCATTGCTGGCAGTCCCATGTCCTTCTCTCAATGGATGTAACATGGAGCTGAACCCACATGGGGGTGGGCGGCTCAATTGTTCCCTGGAGAAACCAATCCAGGTCTGTGTTGGTTGTCCATCTGTCTTGTGGCCACCGTTCCGCTCCCGGTTGTGCTGTGCTGCTTCCTGCATAGCTGCTTTTTATTTACTGGGTCGGATTAAAATGTTGAACTCCTGAACCGAGGGTGAGAGAGGGCTGACAACCTGGAGTTTGTCAGCACATCCATCAGCGCTGGGCTCTGCGACTTGGCAGCGCCTGCTGCCCCTCCTCTCGTCGTTTGGGCCAAATCCCATCTTTTTTGGAGTCTGGTTAGGATGGAGAAAGGCAGAGGTGGATCTTTAGGTAGTAAAGCCTTTGCTAAAGATGACATTAGCAGCCAAGGCATAGTAGTGCTACGTTGACAGCAACCTCCTAATAATGTCTGAGGATTTAGTGTATTTAGAGAAACTAATCTTTTTTAGCTTGGTAATAATTCTAACAATAGGCATGAGTGCATTAAATGATTCGCATAAACTTCTTTAATGCATGTAGCATTAAGCTTACAGTAAATAGACACAATCCTGATTGTTTTAAATTCTCAGTGTAATGCAGTTTTGTAACAGTGCACCCCCGAGTGCTTCACCTTTTGGGTCTGACTGCAGAGAGGCGTAAGATTTTCGGTGCTCCCTTGGCTTTGCCACACCGCTTTGGTGTCCCCGGGTCTGTTTGGCCTTCAGGTGCGTGCGTTTGGCTTGGGATGCTCGTGCTCTCCCTGCGTGGAGCACCGAGTGTACTTTGCAGGGCAGGGACCTGCCCGGCTCAAACTTAAATATTGACCAAAGCCAGGAACCAGGTGATAACTGGTGCTTGTGAATGGTGCCTTGTTTCTTGGGGCCGGCACGTGGCCGTGGTCCTGCAGCATTGGGCTGAGCCCTGGTGTGTCCCATGTTGGACGATGCTCTGGGTGGGGAGCGCATCACCAACGGCCCAAACTCCAAACCCCACGGCGTATCAGCAACGTGCAACAGCTCAGAGTGATGCTGGGCCTCCTGCGAGCCCCAGGCTGGGTGGACCAGTGAGTAATTTCATCTGTTGGTTGTGGTTAAAAATATCCCAATATAGGCTTTGCCCCAGATTCGTAGAGCATCGTGTTGAAACCTGGCCAATCGCAGAACTGGCTGTGCAGCGGTCGCCCGGGTCTGCGCCAAACGCCGTGTTTGTTTACCACAAGGCAGCGGGTTTTGCCATTGCAACCCGAGGCACAAAGCAGGGAGATGCTGCGGGGTCTGGGGAGTGCCGGCACTGGGAGATGCTGGCTGCAGAACTGCACACTTGGGAGCAGGGCGGTGTGCTTCATTAGCAGAGTGTTAACTCTGGGATTTGCATGCTGTGTAATTTCCATTTCATTTCCCAGCGTAACTGTATGGGAACTGTTAGGAGCAGCAGGATAATTTATCAATTTCCCCTTCCAATCTTTATTTATTTATTCATTGGCACCTCTCTTGCAGGGGGTGCTTCATGAGCGCCATGGGCTCTCGCCATGGTGAAGCAGCACTTTTTTCCTGGCTTTCCCCGTGGTTCCTCTCCTAGGGCAGGGCAGCAGGCTGCTGGGAGGAGTGGGCTGTGGGTCTCTGTGTTGGGGAGGAGCACCGTGTTTTTCCCTTTTTGTCTCAGCACGTGTGCAGATCTGACTGTTAACGCAGATAACGCGCCGTGCCGCTCGCAGTTTCATTAGTCAGCCTCTTCCACCACCTGTATCAGAGTTATTCAGAAGTTAACTGCGGTGCTCTGGTTACCTACAGCAGCACGGTGCTGATCCCCGGCCGCCATCCAAGACTTGACCTGTTCTACAGGCATTGCCTGACCCATGGCAATTGATTTGGGTGGGTTTTTATTTTTGCTTTATTCCTATTCCCATCCAACTGAGCAGGCTGCTGGCTCAATCCTCCGGCCCTCTGAGATGCTGTGGGCAGGGGGCAGCCCCGCTCTGCCTCCCCGCTCTGCCTCCCCGCTCTGCCTCCCCGCTC